GCCAAAGCCAGTCCAGTGGTGCCCAGAGGCTCTTCGTGTCCCGGGAGCTCTGCTCGGGGCTACCACACATTGAGCAACTTCCCAGTGCCTCAGTGTCCCTCTGTCCTGTGCTGGGGTAGTGGCTGCCACATTCTATCCCCTGAATGGTGCTCTGGAGGCAACCCCACAGGGCTGCCCAGGGCTGCTCTTCCCTGCCTGGGGGAATACAGCCCCTCTCTGCTCCTCCTGCCCTTGGCAGGGGATGCTGGTGCTGACAACTTTCCCCAGGCATCTGGGAAAAGGTAGTGGGGTTGGGACAAGTGAAGACACATCTGAGCAGCCCCTTGTGTCAAATGGCAGCACCCCATTCCCCAGTGCCATTCCATGCACTGCCCCTGCCCCGTGACCCCCTGCCCAAGCTGGCCCATGCAGCATCCTCCCAGCATCCCCCCGAAGGCACTTGGCCCTGGGACCCCACAGCTCCTGGCTGCTGCAGGCTCTAGATCCCCACAGGTGCCCCCTCAGTGGCAGCCCCAGGTGGGGGAGCCCCTGCAGCCCCAACCTCCATGGACAGGGCTCCAGGTGGCCCTGCCTGCACTGGGGACGGGGAACCCTCGGGAGTCAGCGATGCTCAGGCTGGAAGGGACCTTAAAGTTCATCTCATTTCAAACCTCTGGCACCAGCAGGGCCACCTCTCACTAGACCAGGTTGCTCCAAGCCCCATCCAACCTGGCCTTGAACAGGGATGGGGCAAAATCGTCCTCTCCTGCTGAGGGGAAATTGTTTTCTTCCTCCCAGGGAAGAGTGAGGTGGGATGGGTCTGCGTAGGGCTGGAGGGCACTCGAGGGTGGGCTGGACTGGCAGGGTGGGTTCCCTGAGGGGCAGAGGGGTCCCATCCTGCACTACGGGCAGGAAGGGCAAGAGAATATGTGGGGCGACCTTTGGGTGCCCACCCGAGCTCACGGTTCCTCCAAGGGCTCTGCGTCTCTGTAACCCAACTCCTCGCAGCCGCCTCCCTCCCTCCTTACCTCGTTCCTGCAAAAGCGCTGCTGGCGCTCGGATCCGAACCGAGGTTGCTGCAGCCCCAGAGCACGGACCCCAAACCCCTGTGCGATCCCAGCCCCGAGCAGGGACCCTCCGGCACAGAGCACGGCCCCTGTACGGTCACATCCCCTCCCCGTTCCTCTCCCACGGCAGGACCCTCCCGCCTCCCTCTGGGAGCTCCGGGGAGCGGCGGAGGTTTTACAGCCGCTCCCGCATCATCCCGCTCCCCTCCCTGCCAGCGCATCCCTACGGCACCGCATCTTCCCAGGGCGCATCCCCAGGATGCCGGATCAGTGCCCGCGGGATTCCCAGGAGCCGGGTGTTCAGCCCGGTGTGCGCTGGCAGCCTCGCTGGGTGCTGTGGGGGTGGGAGAGGTCAAAGCAGGTCCCCACACCATCCTTCCAAACGCTGCAGCAAAGTGGGGTCCCCCCTGCGTGTCCTGGACATCCCCCCAAATCCCAGACAGGAGCCTGGATAGCTCAGTTGGGAGAGCATCAGACTTTTAATCTGAGGGTCCAGGGTTCAAGCCCCTGTTCAGGCGGTGGCTTTATTCTTTAGGAGCCCGTGGGCAGGGGCGGCACCTCCTCCTGCTGGGACAGTCCTTCCTGGGGGGGAAGAAGCTGGAGACTGTTTACCCTGCTCCCACCCTCACTGAAGGGTGCTCAGGAGCCCAAACTGACATCTTGCGGCGGTTTTCTCAAAGTTTGGGCTCCTGTTGGCACCTGCTTTTTCTGCATGACAACCAGGGACTGGAGCATTTCTCCTGGGAGGGAAGCCAAGCTCTGCTCAGTGGTGCCCAGCGCCATCACCAGAGGCCATGGACACACACTGGAACACAGGAGGCTCCATCTGAACATCAGGAGACACTTTTAACTATGAGGGTGACTATTTTCCCAGTAGAGCCCTGCATTGTTTTAAGGGGAGATGGTTCATATGAGACCAGAGGCTGCACCAACCCACGGGGCCACCACACTGCCTCAGCCAAGCCCTGGACTGCACCATAGGTGTACAGACACTTTAGGTTATTTTTGCAAAATAGAAACTCCTTTAACAGAAAACCGAAGCAATTTTGGATGAAAAATATCCCCCCTTAGGATTTTTGACATTTTTCAACCTGAATATACATCAGTAACTCAAGCACAGTACATTGTTCTTCAGGTAAGTTTAGTGGCCTTACACCCCACACTGACTTTCTGGGGGGAAAAAAAAATAAAAGAAAAGAGGAATGAAGAAGTTATGTATTTCCTTGTGTTTCTGCTTCTCAGCAGGGTAAAAGCAGGGCAGGCACTGCTGCTGCTAAAGGAAAACTTCTCTAGATGTTTGTCTCTTCCTTACGTATAATCTTTAAAAGGGAAAATTCTTTTTGAGCTTTCCCTGAGTAAGGAAAACATGTTTTCACTAAATGAAGGTTGGAGGAGTGTGAAGTTGTGCAAGTGGTGCCCTACAAACTGTAAATCCTAATGGTAAACGCGCAATGATTTTTTTTCTCCCTCCATTTCTTGCTCTGGATAAGTTACAAAATCAAATAAACTCATTTTGTGCAACAAAAAAAATCCCCCCTCTCCCTTTCCCAAGCACAAACCCTGCCGACACCTGAGCCCATCTGCCCGAGTGCTGCAGCCCTCTGCTACTTTCAGATACTCCCACAGTGGTGAATAAGCCGAGACCCACTGCTTGGGTGGTGTCTTCTTCACCACCAGCCTGTGCCATACCTTTTGTGATTTCTCTTCTGAAAGCTGCCGTCCAGAGTGAGTTCTGCACGGCTGTCAGGAGAGGGCACCAAGTCCAAGCAAACAGGGTGACTCCGTGGTCTGAAGGCTCCAGGAGGGTAAAAGCAAAAGTTTAAGAGGCTTCCTCAGGCTGAAGCATCTCCTGGTGCACCCACAGATCTCCTCCTGCCTCTTGGCGCCCACGAGACCTCCGGTTCCCAGACCTGCGGTGTGCCAGGGGGCATCCCTCAGCTCTGGATGGGTTTTGCCTCTGCTGCGAAAGCACCCCTGGAGCTGCTGCAGCCAAAATCCCCTTCCCCTGGGGCAGGGAGTGCTGACAGCTGGGCTTTCATCAGATTAATTTTCCTTCTGCTGTGTCAGGTCCTTCATACCCTGAAGGGCAGGAAGGGCGAGCTGAGCAAGTTGCTGCCTCCCACCTCCTCTCTCTCTGCAGGGCAGCCACAGCACTTTCTGGTCCTCTGCCTGCAGAACTGTGAGGAAGGGGAATGTGGGAGGCTGGGTGAATTCTAAATTCTCACGTTTGCCCGGCAAATGGAGAAGCTGGAGTGCTTTCCCAGAAGTCTCACTGAAGCCTCACTAGAGAGACCCTGGCCAGTGACTAAAGGTCGGGAAATCCTTGTTGGTGTGAGTCTGGTCACTCTTAGCAGAGAGACCACCCAAGCTTGTGGCGCCTTCCCAGGGCGTGGCTTCTTTCCAAACCGACCTCCTCGCAGCCGCCTCCCTCCCAGCTCTTGGCAAAAGTGTTGCTGTGACTCGGATTCGAACCGAGGTTGCTGCGGCCACAACGCAGAGTACTGACCACTATACGATCACAGCAGAAGGTGTCGGAAGGTGTCCTGCCACACGCCGGGACCGCGGGGAGGGGAGCGCCTGCTCCGACCCCTCCCCTGGCACGGACACCCAGCACAGCCCGGGGAACAAATCCACTCTGTTTTAGCAAGGAGGCCACAAATGGGCTGGGATGATGCCGTTCAGAGCTCCAGCAGCATGGAATGGGGCCCTGAATTGTGCAGAACACTGGCAATGCTGGAATGGCACCTGGAGAGCGAGGCTGCTGCGAAGGGTGGCACTGCTCAGGGGTATCATGCAGTGGGGCCATCACACTACAATGCAGCAAATTCGGGGTTATAATAGTTTCAGCTAAATCTAAGTTGTACAAGGGATGAGAAATTAACTAACTTTTTAGCACCATGTGTGATACAACAAATTTTGGGGGAATTCAGTTAAAAATAAACAGCATGAGGATCTCCACGGGGAGCTGAGTGGTGCTGTGGGAAGGATCCAGACAGGGAGGTCCAGGTAACCTGGAATGTCCCCAGGGCCCATCATCCATCATTCCCAGGACCCCACTGCCACCTCGCTGTCTGATCATGATCCCTCTCCATGTTTCCCCACAATTTTATGCCTTGAAAATTGTGCTTTGATGACTCCAGAGCTGCTTTTGCTGTTGCTGGCCCAGGATGTAGGTTGGGCTCAGTGCTGGTGGAGAAGAAAGGACTCGGTGGGGGTGAGAGCTCCCTGCTCCACGTGCTGGGCAGCCCACAGCCCCCCGGGTACCATCCCACTGCCACCTCCTCCCCAGCCCTCCATGGGATATGCAGCAGGGGATCCCCAGTGCCCCCACGGACCCCAGGGCCCCAGTTGCCCACTGGCTCCCTCACCCATCTCCATGGTGAGTCCCAGAGAGACTGTGGGCACCTCTGCTCATCATGGAGCCTCCAGTGCCGTGTATGACCCATGGAAGCCACCCAGAAGACAGGAAGAAACAGGATTTGACAGGAAGACAGAATAGAGTTTCCATCCCTGAGAGGGCTCAGGACTGCACTTACAAACTTCCTGCTTGCTGGTCTTTATGCATGTTTTAAACTACCTTGATCTCTGCTGGAGGAACAACACAGCAGGGCATGAGCAAGCCAGGAGGATCCTGGTGGGTTTGGGTGACAGCTTCCTGACCTGTGTGGCAGAGGAGCAGTGCTCTGCTCCAACTTTGAAGAAGTGCTCACTGGGAGGAGTAGCTGAGTCATTGGAATGTGGAGTCATTCCAAGGGAGAGCTGTGGGACGAGCCCAAAGACAAAGCCCTACCAGGATGGTAGCCGGGTCCCCAGTTAAAGGAGAACAAATATTCAGGCCAACCCAGCTCAGTGACATGCAGAATAACTCTGAGAAGTTCTCTCAAAGCATTACTGAGGACTCTCACAGTGATAGTTATTAGAAGACCAAGAGGGAGAAGGCTCACACAGTTCTACTTATTGTTTATAGACACTAATTTATTAAGGCACAGGCACAACATTGTGCGGCACCAAAGGTCCCCACAGTGAGAATCCTGAACCAGCATCTCACCATGGCAAGATCTTCCCTTCCCAGTCCAGGAAGGTCCCAGTCTCCTTCTCAGAGAGGGAGGAAAGCACCTTCAACATCCCTTGCACGCTGGCATCAACTGTCAGGGGGGGCTGTGGGGAAGAGGGAGAAACATTTGTGTGCCCCAGGTCAGGATGGGGTCTGCCCTGGAGCAGATCATTGCTCAGGGATTGGGGTTCTCTAGCATGAGAGAGGAGAGGCCAGCACCCAGCAAGAAGAGATCCCAGTCCCTCATCTCCTTCTCTCACGTGCCTCCAGGGTATCTGCCCAGGAGCTCCCACAGAGCTCAGCATGCCTGGGACTGTTCAGTCCCCAGGAAGCTCTGCATTCCTAAATGAAGAGGTTCTTCCAGACCATGGCCAGAAATATCTCTTACCTTAAATGATTCTGAGCTCCCCCCCATTTCAGTTTGCACCCAGCCAGGGTGGAGAGTGACACAGAGGATGCCATGCTCCTTGTATGCCAGGGACTGGCACTTGGTCAGCATGTTCAG